ACTGTATGTGTGCTGGCCAGGGTTGATAATACAGAGCAATGCCCGCGAGGATCCATCACTGTCAAGAGCTCTCAATGGCTCTTCTAGATAGCAGACATTTGTCTTTTTTTTTTTCCCTTTTTTGCTGGGAGGGTAACAGCTACATAGGGTACTATCTTTTATCCTTTAGTGGTTTTTGATTAAACATCTTCTGGTATTAAATATTATCTTTCTGAAGCTTGACATTTACCTTCATTTTGTGCATCGGACATTACAATCGTATCCCAGACTTACACATTTGCAGAATTGTTATCAAATCGTAACGTTCTAGAAAGAAGTTCCACATTTTAAAAAATTGAACTCAATAAATTAAACAGATTAAAAAGTTTTGCTGAGGACCACGGAGCCCGGAGCTAGGTCACCACAACACTGACAGTGCCTGACCACTGGCAGCTAGTGCTGCTATTAGACCAATGTAGGTTGGCAGAATGGGCTCCAAATTGACACCAGCAGATACTGCACTCAAAATCTTAAATTTGTCTCCAGCAAAGTTGAACTTTTTTAGGTGCAATGAGGACAAGAACTTGCTAATTATCTGTAACAATAAATAAATGAGGCAGGAATATTCCAAATCCTACAAGAGAAGGGAGCAGCATTTCTTGGTGTGTATATGTGTACGGTGGCTGGTTCATTGTTTGCAAATGCATACACAAGTGTATTATGGTTTAATTGGATGTGACCAGGCACCGCTGCAGGGAGCAAACACTTCATTAAGACATGACAGTCCAGCCCATACAATAAGATACCTCCCCCGCATAGGGCAGGAAGCACACAGCATAAAAAGCCACTACAGAGAATATGTGACACCCAAGTTTAAAACCTCGTCGTCAAGAAGCCTCGAGACATATTCAAAAAAAAAAAAAAAGAGAAGGTAACATCAAGGCTAGGTCTCACTGTTATTCACTATCTCTGTACTGGAGTGGGTTTTAAGTCCTGGAATTGAATCAATCCAATTATCCCTTAAGCAAATGTAAAATCCAAATCACAATTAAAATATTCTGAGTCATCAGCTTTTTTCCCATGGTGCATTTCTTTGCTGATTATGCCAGCGTGCTCTAAGATGATAATATTCCTGTTAATAAAGCATGAGTGGACACCCAGTGGCTTGAGGAGAATGACATTAATGTAATGTTACCCATAAGCCAAGGCCCACAGTATTCAACAACAGTCTAACCCCAGTTAAGCATTTAGAGAACTTTTTCATGGGGCACCTGAGAAGGCAGACCCTTTAAAGTCATTAGTCTAATGATGATTAGCAATGGCTTCACCCTCGGAGATAACTGGGCCAACGCAAGCAGACACACCCTTAAGTCTGCCTAGCCAGTGTCACTGAAGGATTTCAGTCTGCTGGATTCTTTTTTTTTTTACAGTGTCTGCACAGCAAGGCAGGAGTGTTGACCACATGTAAAACTTCTCTTGTACTGTATATAGGATATATCAAGAGTGAGTGGTTACAAGAGGCTAGAGATTGTGTGTGCTTGCAACCGAACTGATTAGTGAGATTATTAAAATCGTGCTCTGGCTCATTCAGTCATCTTTCACTATTGCGTTCATCAGTTTATTCAAATAAATAGACAATCTTTGAAGTTCTTCACTTTGTGTTGGGCGCTTTGCATCTGCCATGTCTGAGTAGTTTTCTTTTTATATCAAAACTCCTGCCTTTTCTGTTTATGTATTACACAAAAAAAAAAAAAAAATTAAGGACTCAACATGAACTTGGGGTTGTGCACACATTAATTTGTCTGATCAAATGTGATGTGGAGAGACTAGGTAACCCCTCAGGTTGTATAAAATCATATTTGATCAAACCTCTTCCGTGGTGCTAAAATGGGAGCAGTATCTATCTATCTATCTATCTATCTATCTATCTATCTATCTATCTATCTATCTATCTATCTATCTATCTATCTATCTGCTCTCTCAGACCTGTTTTTCTTATTATTTTGGATCCTGCTGCCCTCTTTGACAGTCTGATCGACATTTTCCGGAGCCCTTTTTTTCTTCCACTAAGCTTCAGTGGTTAGAGCCTGATACTGCTGCTGCCTGTGCTCGCCATTTTATTTCCACTGGGGCCAGCCATACTAAAAATTTATGTGTCCCAGTAATGTAAGGCTCTTAGGATATAAAAGCATCCAGTGAATTGCGTTCGCCATCAGAGGAGAGATGGAACAGCTGGACAATGATTAAAATGCTGACTATTCAAGAGAAAGGACAGTGAATGCACCATCTCTTTTTACTGAGGCCAGACATGATGTCTTTCTAAGTGTAGTGTCCTGAGACAATTTTGTCCTACCGCAGGAGCTCGCCACGGGAAGGTCGTCACGTTGAATCAAACTGAACACATTGACATCTCCCAACGCGCACGTTTTTGCATGCCTCATTCATCTCTCCACCTACATCACTGAGCAACTCTTTAATCCCGTGACCTTTTTTTCTGTATGAATGCATTTGATAAAACCTAAACCAACACAGTTAGCCTTGACTATTCTGCTTTCAATCCTTTATACGCCACTTTAAAGGTGCAACATGACGCGCCGCTGCAACGCCTATCTCTAAATTAATTAGATAAAAAGCCATTGCCATGAACCCACGTTAAACCTTACTGATACAGTGCATACATTTAAAACAACGAGAAGACTTTCAGTTCCCAAAAGACCTTCAAGTTTGAACTGTACACCGCTTACATCAAAAAACAATAACTGTCCATGTGACTGCCTCAAGGTAAATTGTTATTGATTATAACATTGGTGCAGAATCTGATTACCATAATGGCATAATGTCAGATATCCAAATATACAGATGCCCTGCATAAAATGCCCATCTCTGTAATAAACTACATTTATGAATTGTCATGGTCATTTATATCACTTTATTCCCCTCCAGATGAAAAGGTCTGCAAAAGACGGGCATCCATCTTATCAAGCCCTGTTCCTTTCTGCCAATCTCGCTGTTCCTTGGTAGCAATTTATAACACTGCATGGAGCTGGGATATAATTATAGTCTATTGTCTGATATTTCACCTGCATTACATGCTCTTGCTACGGTTCAGGAACCATGCTGAGTCTGAGAGAAAGCCATTCCGCTGGATCAATATTTATGATTGTATTATTTATCAGCATCTGCAGACCCTTACGCAAACGGTTATGATGGTCTCGGGTCGCAGAGAGAGAGAGTTAGGGGGACGGCCAGTAATGTGTGGTCTTTACTGCTGCTGAGCTGGAAACTAGGAGCAAATTATCTGTGGGAGTTTGTCATTTCATAACACGAGCTGTGGGTTGAACAGTCTGGCAAAGAGAAGCGAGACATTTTCTTTCACTTTGAATATAGTTGATCATTTTGCGGTTAAAACTTAAGTTTGGCTACATTGATAACATCAACTTCCAAGGTTCAGACTTTTTGTTTGACACTTTCAGATAAGATGACGGCAACAATAGGTCTAAAAGTGGAAATAAATGAAAAGTGCGTTAATAAGATTGCATTAGTTTGTTGTGGACAATGAAGCAAATCAGCACAACACTAAGAAAGCTCTGAAATATATTTTTTAAACTGGCTAAAGCAGATTGAGACATGTATATATGACTGTTGTCTCAAACTCTAACGTTACACAATCTGTCAAAGGGGAATTAAAATCAAACAATTTTGATTGGGTATATATTTTTCAATGTGAAGTTAAACCCACCCTTCCTTAAGATGCCATAATCTTCCGTTACTCAATCCGATTAATCCAAAATGAGCTAAATCCAAAATGATTTTAAACTATATTTGTAAAAGCTGATTAAGCCCTGATTAAAGGGTCATTTTAGTCTGCAGATGTGTTTAATTTAGCTCCGATGCATGCTTTCCCTGCAACTGACTCACAGGTTATTTGAAATTCTGACACACATTTTTAACTTCGCAAGTGTTCCCCTGCTGTGTGATGGTTTCTGTGTAGCTACACAATTACATCTGACTCGCCTCCTTTCAGATCTTGCTTGAGTGATTCATATAATGTAGAATCCCCATTAGTTGGAATAAATAAACTCACTTTTGACTACTTTTGAATGCTATCCCAGATTAGCACAGTGACAATTAAAGCACATGTTTAGGCAGTGGGGTCACTTTGTGATTGTGTCTCATGATGCTTCTGGTTTAGTTTTATAGAAACGCACATCAAAGCATTTCCTATATTTGTGCTATTTTCTGTTTCTGTCTGTGTTGTGAGGAAAAATTGTTCCCTTCCACTAAAACTATTCTCCTTACTGACCTAAATGAGTCAATACTACCTTCTGTTAAGAACACAGGTATTTCTAAACTGCTTGTTGCAAGCTAATTCACATTTACATTTTGAAAACCTCTGCAACTATTAAATCCTTATGTACAGTGTGTGAAACAAATAAAGCAGGTATTCAAAATAAGATACGGGCTATTCATTTAAAATCCAAGGCTGCTGATGTATTGAAAGTAGTTTAATGGAAAATGTCTTCCATTCTTGGCAGAGACTGTGGAACAATGGTCTGATCGCCATTTCATTGGATAGGACACACATTTTGTGTTGCATTGTTTAGTCACACATTGTGACATTTGAGAAGTAATATGCTCCTGCAGATGCTGCACCGCTCATGCAGGACAGATAAAGATGATGGAGGACCTCTACGATGGTTATCACCCGAACACACACACCTCGTGGCGCCATATCTGATTGCAAATGGGAGAAATGCTCAGCGGTGTGTCTGTGGTGCTGCTCCCAGTTGTGAAACAATGGACTTATTTTCCTTCAGTTTTTAGGTCAGAGGAGTCAAGGAGAAGGAAGACGTGACACACACAATAAAACCCTGCATGTATTCTTCATATACTGTAAGGGCCTAACACTGAGTTCTATTATATTGATCCAGACTGTGCTGAACTTCATGTTGTACCTAGTGAGCATTACAGAATGGATCAAGTCAAGACAGACAGACAGGATCATTTAAAGATGATCCTACCTGCAGAGGTTCTCGCGGCGTCGTCTGCTTGACTCTCCTGCTGGACGCTGTGGTGGTGGTGATCTCCATGATGGACGTGGACGTCTCCGAGCGATTGGCTGTGGTGCTCGACTGCGGCGTGATAGAGGAGGGTGACTCCCCCACCAGCCGCACGCTGCCCTGGATCCTTATGTTGGGATCCCCCTCTGCAGCCATGTTGAACACCTTCAAGCCATTATAGTAGAGGCCCGAAAGCTGGCCCTGAAAGGATCGACTCCGATCTCTCTCCCAGCCCCCAATCTGTATAGTGGTTTGGCTGTTGAAGATTGTGAGCTGTCGCCCTGTGGAAAAACAACGTTACATATATACAAGAATGTTGAATTGTGGACTGGGCTACTGTTACTGAACAGGAAATAAAAGGACAGAAAGACAGATTATTTGCCCAGTAGCTAATGAGACCAATAAATTACGGGTTGTAGAGACAAACCCTGGTAATTTATTGCAGTTATAATGATGAGATGCCTTCGAAAAAGAAACACATATAAAATAAAAACACAGGATTTGGAAAATCAATGCAGCTTTGCTAAAAGGGCAGTCTCATCTAAAACAGCAAGAAAAGATGATTAAGAAGAAGTAGCAATGTTATGGGAATGCAGTAGATTTAACTACACTTGAAACGATAACATAATCTTGAAAGCAATATAAATGGACAAACTGTTGGCATTAAATTGCCTGGGAAATAAAACAAACATATAAAACATTTATGTAACAAAACTAAAAGCATATGTTTTTATTGTACATTGCTTCTGCTATCTTGCAATGTTCCCTTTAGACTTTAGCATTTAAAAACCTGAAAGGCAGCAAGCAATAAAAAATAAATAAACAAAACTTTCTAAAGTGGCCAAAGGCTGCGAGAACTGGACTTCTACAGGAAACAGGAATTACTATTAACTATTCGTCCTTTTAGCAAAATCAACCAAGGAAAATTAAACGTAGAACAGATATGGTTGGGCACACGAAAAACCAAAACTAAACAAATAAATGAATAAAACAAACATTTTATGACAGCATTTTTCATGATGCAAAACAGAAACAACAACAACAACAACAACAAAACATAAAAATGATAGGGCTAATTTCACATTTTAAGTGAAGACTATGAATTAGTTATTGAACTATAAAAAAACAAAGCATGCACTCAGTTTGTTTTATATTACAGTTCCTTTATCTAATGCCCTATACATATTTACAATGTCTGTTAAAGGGACTCAAAATTCTTATGCCAATTCATATTGCACACTATTTATCATTGCTAGCAGTTTAATCAGAAGAGCTCAAATGGAGCTACGTAATGTACTGTACTGTATATGTACTGTGTATGTTTCGAAAGTGTCTCAAACAACACTTACCAACTTATGAATGACTAAATTGGAACTTTTAAAATTATCATTTATACGTTTACAACAAAATGCTACAGTAATTTATAGACATTTTAACAATGCTGATATTACTTCAGTAAGTGGATTTATATTCATATTTACAGTCCCTTTAACCATTAGTTGACAATAAACACGTATTAAAACAGTCGACATCTATAAAATAAATACATTATTATGAAAAGTGTCAAACACTAAATTTAACTGTTCAAATCATTTTAATTTTTTTAAAGTTTTACTGAACATTTATTTTTTTTAGGTTTATTATTTACAAAATGCTGCTACAACTTGGTTATGATCAAATTATTTTATTTGAAGTTTTAATCAGTGATTTTACCTTTGTCGAGTAGCCATTCGTCAACTACTCGACCAAGTCGGTATGGGATTCGCTGTCTAGCAATCGCCAGGCGTTCGTTATCAATGTTGCCTTTAAAGTTTAAAGAGACATTTCATTGGTTACAATCTGTAAGGTCAAAGGTTAAATATTCATACTTAATGCTGAAGCTATACAACTGCACAAGGTTTTTATATTTAAAACGTTTTGTATATTTAAAAAAAACAATATTTACTAAAACATTATTTGAACAAACGTCACTCATTTTATTTTATTTTATCCAACAAATTAGGCCTATATTAATAGCTGAATTAGCATGTAAATGTTTCATCTAGGTTAATAAAGCTACGTTATAAACCAACCAAAATCACAAATTTATACATTTCCATTACAAAATCTTTACCCAAATAGTTCCATCCCATTTCCCCTCGATATCTTTTTTTAACTGGCTTTTAAACTAGTTATATACATTTTCAAAAAGAACATCATTTAAATTTATTATTAAATCCACCTTTTATGGTTTAAAGAATAAAACAATTTAACTTTAACATATTACAAAAGCCCACCCCATTTATAAACAGCCTAATTGACAAGAAATGATAAGCTATTTGCCATATAACAGTTAACACAATATACAATCAGAGCATCTAGTCAGAGAAAAGTCAGAAGACAATGTCAAAGTAGGTACATACATTGTAAAACCTTTAATAAAACAGCTTTGACAAAAGCTACGAGTCATAGAGGAGGACGAGTCATGAGTTTTGGCCATTGCACAATGTACATTTTGATGACGTCAGAGTTGATGGAAAGGCGGTTTTCCAGGAGGAAAAAAAAAAAAAAGCCAAATAAGTGACAGGAGAGAGAAAGAGCAGCTTCAGAAAAACTCCACTCCAAGGTTGGAGGGGCACTTTGGCATTAATGAGGGCAAACTCTGCATCACCCTTTTGTCAAGGCCAATAACCTCTCCAGAACAGAAGACTTTCAGCAAAGTGGCACTGTCTCTGAGTGCTTTCCCCCCGGTATTGTCTGCTGAGATTGAATTCAGTCAGCTCCATTCTTCCGGCAGATTGACAATGTTTGTCCCATCAACTATATTAATTCAGTTCTGGCAGATAAAAGATCCGGTAGCTAACAATGATTCGGTGGAGAATGGCTTCCGAGTGGAAAAGGATCGCAAAGACGCGAAGGAAACGAGGTAACCTTGTAACAGATGCACAGTTGGTCTGATGAAAGGTCTTAGAGGTAAGAAGACGCATAAAAAGACATTCTTTAATCGCATCACCTTGAATTACTGTCGAGGATCAGCTACGCACACAAAAAAGGGTTTAAATTGTGTCTATATAGCTCGTGGAATTTGGCTGCAGCTGATTGTGCCAGGTTGGAGCACAAAGGCTTGTGACGGAGGTTCAGTGGAACACTTCTCTCTCAACGCTGATGCAGGACGATGCATTCGGCATTACAACAAAACCGCACAGGAACATAATGTGTAATACTTGATTTGATTGGTTATTGTGACAGCAGCCTTTTTTAAACAATGCCAGTGCACACTCAGGAAATTACATCTTTTTGGTAAAGGATGCATATCTGTTGTGTTTTTCATGCTTCACTTTAAATGGGGCCCCGTTTTGCTAAACACAATTCATGCTCGGCTTTCAAACCTGCACATGCGTGTAATTTTCAACTTGACATTTCCAAATTATACGTAAAACTCGACAGCAACTGCTCGACTTCTTTCACGTTTTTAAAAAGGCATAATGAGCCCCTCTAAAGAATATGTCACACTAACAGGAGTAAATAGTGTACTTCTTGGGGGCTCAAACAAACACAGCTGTGCTTCTTTATCCCTCGAATGGGATAAATTAATGAATAATCCTTGATTGCTGTTGTAACGGAACATTTGCGGTCTTTGTTAATTCCTGTCACCTCCATTTGTCAGTCATGGGGTGTTAGTTATGTCACCTCTCCATTTCCTGCTACTGTGACACCTCATCTGAGGGGAGGTCAGCATCAAACTGGGCTCTGGAGAACAGTTAGCCTACAGCAGTTAAGAGGACAGCGAGGACACATGAGTTTAAACTCAAAAAAGAGTGCCGCTCATTAGTATGGCTTTTCCCTTAATACATTCAATATGAAAATAATAAGAATTCCTTCATATGCATGCTTGCTTAGTGTTCTGTTTAACATGTTTTGGATGTCTTGTATTTTTCTTGTTAACATTACAGCTTCTGTTTTTATTTGCATCGCGCCAGCACTAAATTTTTTGCCACAAGCATCGCGACTTGTTAATGAAGAAGGCAAGAAAACGAAGAGGACGATGAAGAGGAGTGCGAGTGCGAGCACAGGCGCAGACATGTACAGCACACTTATCCTCACACACAGCAGGCCACTGTGCCAAAATCCTCTACATTTGTGCAAAACCATGCTCCATTTTCAAAGACAGTATAGCGCTTTATCTATTTGGCTTGGCACTCGGTGGCACGCTCACTATATCCTTATACTGAGGTTAATTAAGTGTGGATATAATCAAGGTCTGATCGTGTATTGATCCCCACTGTGGGACACCGGAGTGTTAAACAATGCTATCCCCTGGGCTTTGATGCAGCAGCAGAGCCCATTCATCCTGCCTGCAAGCGGAGCCTGTGACTGCTGCTGAGTGGTGATTTGGTTTGGTATGGGACAGCCTGGCTTATCTCCTCCGCCAGACAGCAGCGATTCAGCTGAGCCGTCCCAACCGACCCGCTTTGCCCTCACTCACTTGTTTTCTTTTTTGTTAATAAAGTGGTCAGATAAGGTGGGAGCTTTATCTCATTACAAGCCCTAGGACACTCGCCACATTAAATGAACAAATATGCAAATGCTTCTTCTGTTCATGGAGCCGGGGGAATTAAAAAAAGGAGGAACCTACACAAATCTCACTATTATTTTGATTATTCTGCTTCCCTTTCCCCCTGCTCTCACCGTGGCAGTCATTGCACCATTTTTTTTTTTTTTTTAAGCATGCTCAGTGATGACTGCTTGCACAATAGGCTGAATAGGCTCATGGATAGAACAGAGGGGGGGGAAGAAAACAGAGCAGATAGGATGGTAGCTTTGATGGATAAAGCTAACCCTCCTCCTCTCGTATCCCACAAATCAGACTCCACATGGCAAGGTGGAAAAACAGGACGGAGGGTGAGATCGACACGGGGGCAGGGGTGGACGGATAGAGGTAAAAAGGACAGAAAAGAGGGAACAGAGAGCTGAAAAGAGTGGAGTGAGAGACAGAGAGCTCTGTAAGTGCACCACGCTCTGATAACAGTAAAAGAATAAGGCCAGGGACTTCTCCATTATCTTTGTGTGCAGCGCGTGTTCATTCGGTGCTCCGATAGGATACTGCACTGTACCCTGCGGGCCTGGCAGCACCATTGTGATGGTATTACTTCCATGGCCAAGACTCAGGAGAAGGGGCTGCTTTTTTTTTTTCTTGCTGCCCAGCCTTTTGTGTTAGTGTGCAAAAATGAAAGCAGGGCAAGAATAAAGGAAAGAAACTACAACAAGTAGAAGTCTAGTTATGTGTCTGTGTGTGCGTTTTGGATTTTTAGATTCTAATAATTGTACTAAAGACTTTTAATGGCCCATAAGTATGCAGTACGAGACTTTTTTTTAATGAGATTACGAGGGCAGCAATAGAGGCTCTGGTGAAGCAATTATTTCCTTGCTTTGAGAACGATCGCTGCCTCCCATATAAACTCCTCCTCTCTGTCTTCCTCACTCTCCAGCCATCATTTTTATCTTTGCTGTCTCCTCTTATTATAATCACTGTTGATCTGTGAGTGGCCTAAGAGTGGCTGAGGGCTGCTATTATGAGTGCGTTAGAGGCATACATGGATACTAATCAAACTACAGGCGAGCTGAGAGAATAATGGCTTTGTGTGCTGGGGGTGAGGGGAGGAACTGCGCAGTAATTGTGATTAGATGTAATTAGTCTGCAACGAGCCTAATAAGGTAGCTGGACTTGGCATTGTCACTGACGCATGATTGGTGGGGATGAGATCGGTCACATTTCCCCGCAGCATTTATAACTCAGCACTTACCATGGGAGGATTTATTCTCGTATTATGACAAAGCTTTTCTACATTTTACAATACCGAAATTTTAAAATATTCCAAATTTATTACCGCCTACAATATGGTAACAACCGGTGTTAAATATATCATGCAACACTTTCCCCTGTTGGACAATACACAGTCCAATAAGTGATTAACAAGCAGCTGTATGTCAGCAATCTTGAGTGATAGCATTTTACCAGATGGTTCGTTTCACACTGAGCCAAAGCTAACGCCGTCATATTTCACTCCGCGGGATTAAAAGTTTAAATATACCACCGTCTTTGCTGTTGCACATTTGTGTATTAGAACAACAACAACAACAACAACAAGTTGCTTTCATCAACTTCCTTCCAGTTTATGCGCCGCGCATGTATCATCAGTCATTTGGGGGTCTGGGGGTGTTCGTCGTTGCATGAAGGCATTTAACCCTGCTGTACATACTGCCCTGTCAACAACATGTCAAAAGCCATTAGTTTCCAGTTTCCACCTGAGGCAAGAAGCGAGGATTGAGTCCCCGTCATAAAACCCTCTTTCATTTGGATGAATGCGCTGGTCATAGCTAAAAAGGTCACCAAACATTATGCAAAAAAGGGGAGAGACAGGTTCAATTTGTCTTCTGTTTGTTTTGTGGGCCCACTCATTTTATGCATGCTCACAATCTAACAAATGTTTGTGATTTGGTCGCTGCAGCTTTTTCTCTCGTGGAATAAATGCTACACTTGTTCCCGCAGTCATTTTTGGTGTTTGCATTTTCAACAGTCATTTCCACACTCCTTTAATCCTCCCTAGCTTTTGTCAAAGCCCTTAAGCAGTTAAAAAAGTTCACAATTTCAACAACACAAGCAGTAGCATTTAAATTCATACTACTAACATTTGAACATTTTGACATTCTACAGAAACACACCAGTGTTGCTGAGTTGTGGTCTGTTTCCAATAGATTTGCTGCATATTTCCCCTCACAAATATCACATCTTCCCCATCACAAGTTCTCTGAAGGTAGATTTTTGGAAGTTATTACTAACGACTACATTTTAAAATAAACTTCCACTTTAACCATTCCAGTCCGATAATGAAGAACGTATAACATATGCTATTCTTTTTCAATTACTTAATACTCTTTACACAGGGCAGTAATTAGTGAATTCATCTTCCCCTGTCATGTAAACTGTGTTTATGAAAAGTGCTACACAAATGAAATTATTAGTAACACTAATGATGAAGAAAATGAACACAGCTCGATTTTTGTCTATGAGTAATTGTGGTGTTAGCTGCGAAGATGATTAATATGAAAGTGCATTTTATGGTTACACTAGCTGCTGTGATGTAGCTGATCATCTGGTGTTTAATTCTGAGCAAGCAACAGATTTACTTTGACTGTGTTATTACAGGTTTGTCAACCAAATCGCCTTAATTCAATCAATCTACTGTATTGGCAGAGAAATAAATATTGAAATGGCACACAATTACTTGCCTCAATAAAAGAGGTAATTTGTCTGTAAATAGCCTATTGATCTGGGTTACTGTGACCATAAACTGTAGGTGTATTATTTATGTATATGGGGAGTAAAATGCAGACTTGTAAACAGGGTGGGTGTTGCCTTCGTCGACGGTTTGTATTTTAATCTGTGCCACTTTAAGTGCAGCCTATTAATATAGATAGCTGTTTAACAGCATTACATTAATAGATTAATGTAAAGCAGACATTTGAGGATGAAAAACTCAGCAACACTGGTGTTATTCTTAACAGCTGCTGGAAACAGAAACATAAAAAAGCAATTAAAGCACATGCCAAGTCAACATAAAAACATCCTAACAGATAAGGCTTTGATAGTTGGCTTGATAATATCTTGTTCATTACATTGCCTTTAAGCAGCAGCAGATGTAATTAAAGGTGAAGTGGGTGACTCACCTGTGGGGTAGCGCTCAATGACTGGCAGGTCATCCACCTGCAGAGTGGCATTACCCCCACTCCTCGTAAACTTCACTATATGGTACTTTCCGTCATTTACAAACTTTGACGTCTCCTCAATGTTAATGTCATCTGTTCCGACATTAAATACAACGGCAATGTTTCCTTTCTCCTGCAAAGAGAAGAGCACAGAAAACAAAGAAGGATTTAGTAATCAAGAAGCATTGCTATGTACAGTGTTGGTACAAAATGAAGAGAAACATAGTGCTGTCCTCATAGTTCCTGCATACAGCCACACATTAATATTTATTTAATGTGACGTGTTGGAAAGGTTAAATGTTGTCGTAAATGTGTAAACAGTGCGTCCCTACAGAAATTATAGACTCACATATAAATAGGGCAAACATATATTTAACAGTCACTTTGCGTTTCCTGTGTCCCTGGTTTAACATTTACTTTGATTCGCAGTAACTTCAGGAAGACAAGTCACTCAACTTAGTGCTTAAAGGGCAACGGTGAGTTACAACACTATAAGTGCATCGATGACCTAATAGAAAAGCCATAATTGAATGATAAGTGGGCCGCTGGCTTAATGAAAGGAATTTTGTGGCCATTGCTTTTAGGCCCTAAGCCATTTTAAACATATCATTCTTTTCCAGTCAAAGAGGTGATTGCAAAGGGGAACCAGCATTTGCATTGTAACAGGTAGTTGTTTTGTTATTATCAAATAAAAAATCATTCATAATTCCAACCAGAAACACATACAGAAAAAGCTTTTGCATTGGACATTTTCATTGTATCATTAAGAAATGAGAACACACATGGAAATTACTCATTTATTCATTGGCACACCCCCTTTTTTTTGGTTGTGTTTACCTGCCTCGATTTCTAGAGTATCAAACAGAGCAGCATGCGCTCTCCTGGAGGAGTGTTTACCACAACTTTTGTTTGCTGTGCATATACACTGTGCAGTGTTACTCTAAGTGTCTATTTATTAAACTGCAAGACCTGCTGGGAGGAGCATAAGGCAGATTACTGTATGGATTATTGCTCTGGCAGCCATATTAAAGCGGCATATGTGTTGTTTTTAAATGTGGCATTGATCCTGGAAGTTTTGTGGTCTTCATAAAAAACTTTTAACAGCACAAATATGCACGCTGTGCACTGTGCCCCAAATTCTGAATGTAACATTAGCCACGTGGTTCTGTGGATTCACATGAACACACACACAGATACATAAATTTATATATATGTCATTTACAAAAATAAATGTAAAAAAATGTTCTGCTTTAGCCATTCATCTATCACACAAGCACATGGACACCCACTCCTCTGAGGCCCTGACTGAATAAGATAAGACTGATCTCAGCAGCTTGGCAGACTGAATCTTCAAATTGCAGTGAACGTCAGCCATCATTACGTGGACAGCAGAGGAAAAAAAAAACAAAAACAAAAAACACAGGCTTGGAAAAATGAAGCAAAAAAGTCTCAAAGGAAGTTTGCACCCAGCTTAGCCACCGTCTCCTCAGATCCACATGATTGGTATCTGCTCTAATAAGCTCCTCTTACAGTACATGATCGAAGTCCCTGAATCCTACTTCTTAATCCAGCTAAGATGAGTGCGTATGTTGGTGCAGCCTCTCTCTCTCTCTCTGCTCATGAGCTGCAGTGAAAGGAGCATCTGGTTGGAAGCTCAACCTTCGGTAGCAGCGCAGCACTCTGCATGTCATTATCCAGTCAGCACAGCCAATACTACACTGCATCTCCATCTCTGTCTCCCTCCCTCTCTCCCATATGCATAAACTGACTCTTTTCCAAGCCCCCCCCCCCCCCCCCGACTAAATATACACAAACTCTCAGTCCCCTTAAAGTGCAGAATGAGTCGCGCTTGTCTCAAGAGCCAGAAGCTAAAGTGCAATTAAAACCATTTGTAATGTGTCACACCACATTACCAAAACTAGGACAATTGTATGCTTTGTAATGTAATTTCAACAGATTATATAATCTGATGCATTAAAGCTACAGTACAAACACAATTTGCTGACTGCTCGCAGGCCTAAACACCAATCAACGAAAACTGAAAAGCAGATGGCTGCAGCGAAAGCGGCTCGTGTCAGGGACTTTTCGGAGTAGAACGAGCGAGGGGATGATCTGTAGATGCTTGTGTTGTAGTAAAATCACGCGTTAGTTGTAATCTGTGTCATTTCAAGAGATTTGCCCCTCTCGAAACCCTTCAGCAAGAGCTATACTGAGACAGCAGCTCCTCAGCAGGACTGAACGCAGCGAGCGAGAGCAGACACCGTGAGCATCTGCCGTCATCAGACCTTGCACCGAGGCTGATTGTCATGCAATTTTCTGTATTTTAAGCACTCAAATATACAGTCACATTTTTTTTACATGAAACATTAGTAATTTCAAAAGCGAACTTTCTTTCAAGGGCTACCTCACACGGAACGCATTAATTCAGAACTTTTTTTTAGTGCCATTGCTCTTAGAAAAAGAGAGAAAGAAAAAAAAAGAAAAAAAAAAAACTTTTAGTGGAGGGACCAACCCAATTAAAATCCTGCTTTTAATAGCCTCCTTCAATTGACTTTTAATGTTCCCCATGGTCTTGTTAATAAATTTACAGCATTTAGTCACAAACTGCCAAGTTGAATTTCCATAGCATAAAAAAAAAAAAAAGCCCAGTTAACTGACGAAGAGACGAAGAGGTAGATGAAAGAGGGTAACAGACAAAGGACCGAAGCCAAACTATCAGATTTAGGGAGTCAGATGTCAGATGAAAGATAAGCACTAAATCTTCAGTCTCGTTTCTGACATGTTTAGAGCCCATATTTCTTCCATTTTAATGTGATTAACTTCCACTGTTATCGCCTCTGCCTTCTGAGCCGGCATTTACTTTAAACACCAATATTATTTTTTTTTTTCTGAATGATAATCCAATACATTTCGGCATTTCCTGAAATTTGATAGACTTAGACAAGTAGTTTCTCAGTTAGTTCGGCACTGAGAGGAGCCTAATCCTGGAGCTCTAATAGGGTGCAGGCTTATGTCAGAGAGTGATTGATAGCTGCTTACATAAACCCAGCCCATTACACCCTGTACAATTTTAGGGCTGCACACTTGGTAAGTGCTGCTCCCCACAGGGCTGCTCCCCCTGGGAACATACTGTACGGTGCGCACATACCGCACCCGAAGAACTCGGTCCTGCCTGACACGCTGCACGCTGCCTTGATTAATTGCTCATCAAGCTGCAATAGAGTTTAATTAACTGATGAAGTTGATCCACCATTCTCCTCTAATCTGCTCTTTTTTTTATGCTTCTCATCCTTGCAGCTGGAGGGTGGAGTAGCTGCAGCAATACTCAGGGTGTCAGTTTCTCGTTAAAACTCCCCATCTGCACTCATTATACAACCATAGAGACACTTGTTTTAGTAGCAATAAAGCTGCAAAACAGCCTCTGCAGACCTAGTGTTTTTCCGAAATTATTAGGATCATTTTTTTCTCCCCATCAAGTCAACAGAACCATATTTGAACAAACGCACATTAAATGTTTTATGCTCCTTAATGACAAGCTTAGATGAAACTTGCTTAACGGTATTAGCCATAAATAATGAATCAATAAACATATAATATCTTTATATTAATGATTTTGCTAAAATGATTCAGCATGTTGTTCACAATTTGCCTGAGGCTCAAACAAACCGAGTACAAAAACAGAAGCACACCGAGTCAGAGAGATCCATTGACGTTTGTAATGGTTTACTGGAGCGAGCTTATTTACCCAGCCCACGTAATGCAACATAAAAAAGAAAGGAAGTGAGAAGTGGTATTTGAGATGGTGTCGGGCCTCCTCTCCAATCTCTGTAAAAATGAACACCACGGTGTAGGCTGTCCTAATGTTTTGCTTGTTTATGAGTCATTCATGTTGACAACCATTGTGCACCCGTCACATTTCATATCTCACCAGTCTGACGCCACGGGACTGCAACACATCTCCCTCCAGTGCACATGTCTGTGAGGGGTCTGTTGGCAGGTGGGAGAGCACCTCCGTCATCCCCTCGCTGCGTTCTGTGTGTGTGTGTGTGTGTGTGTGTGTGTGTCCCTGTGTGTGCGCATGTTGAGAAGATATTATGCTCTCACTGTAGAAGCTAAATATCTTAATGCAGCTCGGGCAGACTGTACTGTTCACCTTATCATTTAATTACCTCTGACAGTCTTCTGCCTCCCCCCCCCCATTTTTTTTTTTTTAGCAAAGCTTGGTTAATGAAATTACAGAAGTAATGGAATAATTATGAGAGGAAAAATAGATTCTGACCCCCCTCCCCCCTTTATAGCATGCGGTCCATATAGTGTACATTATGTTGATAATTCATTTATACAATTGCGATTACGGGTATACGTACAAACGCACGCAGACAAACATGTGTAATCGCAGCCATCGTATTTAGAGGATTGTTAAGTCATAATAAATTGAAGGCTGGGTAAAAGCACAAACCATAGTGCTGCAGAAAATGAAATTTTAGCCTCATAGCATCATATGATACATTAACTTCCTAATATCCCCAAAACAATTTAATGATGTTATGGACTGCGGCAAACCAATTGTCTCTATGGGTTTGAAACCAGTGGGGCCTGCATATTCAATTTTATTTTACATCGTGGCCGACAGTAGTAAAAGATGAAAGCTCAAATGTCAACTATCAAATGTATGATTACTATATATATATATAGTGTGCAACTTAATAATGCATCAATGTGTCATTCTTTATACATTTCCATCTGAACAAACAGATGAAAATACGACTAACCCCGTCAACCTTAGCCTGCATATTGACATAACTGTAAGTCTCATCACGTTGCTCTTATTGCATTGTACCCTCAGGAGAGCAATAAACCCCTATAACAGTGAATTCTAGACATCAACTGACAACATCAAATTGATATAGGAGCGTGTGGCGTGTGCTCACTTCTCAACGTTTGCATCATACACCTTCATCACGCATTAAAGCATTTGCAAAAAACGTGTCCAAGATGTTTGACGTCAGTGTTTACTTTGAGAGCTTCTAACCCTAAGCAGGATTCTTATTAGTTTGCTGTCCTCCTTACATCTAATTAACATTGTATTATGTAATCTGATGCCAGTAAATCAACCGCGTCTATACAACGTGA